GTTTATTATATAGAAACAATCCAATCTAAAGTTTAATGACTCAGAAGTTTCATCTCAATTTACTGAAAATTTTAGTACAGAAACATTTATCTAATGGCTAAAAGAAGCCATGACCATGTCATGAATTTTATAATGAACCTCAAGTGTGAATTATCATAAATTCACGAAGCGGTATCTGTCAATTACCATTAATCCAGTTTTTGTAAAAAGTGAAATAAATCCAATCATAGAGCAATGACAGCTCATATGCTCATATGTTCTTCCCAGAGTCCTGGGAGGACCAGTGCCTTTTCGATTGTTTATGTCTCCCATTCGTGTATCACTTCTTCAAATTTTAACTCCCAGTTTGAATAGATCACTGAATCCAAATCTTTCTTGGGGTGGTCTTTCTTTTTTTTTTCTCCTATGTGTTGGGTTACCTTAGGCCATTATTTGGGCTCTTGGACTCAATAAATTATGTATATAATAAAATTAATTTTTAATCAACATATATATATTATTAATAATATTATATATTATTAATATTTATTAATACATATATATAAGAACACAACTACATACTACACATTATAAAGTACATTATTTCAAGCAGTTCTAGTAAACGTGAAAGTAAGTGCAGAGAGTGTTAAGTTAATTATTAATGATGGTGATGACGATCATGATGATGATGGCTATTATTATTATTAGATTTGACATCACACGGCACATTTGCTCAGTAATATATATGTGGTTGTAATACCATACTTCAGTTCAACAGTTTGAGAGTTTGCGGAGTTCAGTACATCTATCTTTAGATCAGGAGGTGGGTTGATTTTTGATATGCTAAGATTAAATTGATAAGTAGAAAAATTTAGTATAAATATTTGAAAACCCTGACCTTATCATGGCTATTAAACAATACCTATTTATTGATTAATATTGATTATCTGCAAATCTATTAATAGATTATATTAATGCATTAATTATAGAAATCCCAATTGATGTAATCTCAGTGAATGGAAAGGTTGACTTACGATGTGGCTCCAAAAGAAAAGGTGGACCCAATAGAAAGTGAATTTATGATCTAGAAGAAGACATAACACCGATGAATGTTAAAAATCATACTAAACCGATTTACCGATTTTTAAGTGAATCAAGAACTATATTCACTTCTAAGTACACTTAAAGGATCACTTTCGGTAAATTTAATTATAATAGCTATGCGGCATAGAAGAACTTTTATATTGAAAATATTCTATAATAGTTTCGAATTTATAGTTAAACTCTAATAAACAAAAGAATGTGGCATTGCATCCATTCTCAAAAGAATAGAGACCAACTTCAGTGGTCCCAAGTCCCAATTGCCATTCAGTTTAAAACAATAACTTATGGCCAGGTTGTAATAGTTCGCTTCGTGCACCTATTTGTTGGAGCTCTGACGAGGTGGACGAGATCTCGCTCACCCACGATTACCCATTAAGTTCTGCAAATTCAAACTTACATGTACAAGTGTGTCTATTAGTGGGTAATATTTCAAACCACCTTGGAAGATATATACTCGCCAATTCAATTAAAAGACGAAATTGTGCGTGAAACAAAGTATATTTTGTTACTTGTGATAAATGGTTTTTTATAAAAATAAAACACACAGATCATCTCTGTAGCCTAAATTTAGTGCTTATCTCTTCTTGCTTGGTTGTGGCAAGAGGCGCGTTATACCAAACTCACGACGAAAAGCAGGAACCGGACAAGGCCTGTGCAAGTGATCGTAGCAGGACTTCCCAGACAAAGAGAACTTGCGAGGCTGTGGCTTGCTAAATTTTGAAAGGAGAATTTAATAATATTTAAAAAAAAGGAAGCTTGAGCTTACTCTTGTACTTGACATAATTCGCGATATAGTCTAAAACGGGGTGCTGGGGTTGGTGCGGCTGTCAAGTAATCGTTCCATGTCTCCGCCAGAATTTCATTCTCGCGAAGTGAAAGTATATCCAACTCACGATTTATGTACGACATTATTGGAGTTACCTTATATTCACCTACAATTTTATTTGGAACTGATTTACCCGAAAAAATTTGTTTCAACACCTTCTCGGTAGATGTCGCAACTTCTAAACGGGGCTTGTCAACCTGCTGGGGTGTGTCAGTGCACGGTTCGATATATTGTTGGTAACTCATTTTTTTTGTTTTTGTTTTTTTTATTTAACAAAACTTCTAAACACCTTTAAATATTTAATAAATTTTATAACAAACTTATATGACAATATTAAGATGTGATTTTTTAATGAAGAAATTTAAGAAAATTGATACTAAGCCAACTCCGATCAACTCGACTACTGCATTTTTGTAAAAATTAAAAACCACTTTTTAAAAATTTTTCAAACTATAGCAAACCTAAAGTGTTTGTCAAGTATTTAGAATTTCAGATAGAACTTAATATCCTCGCAAAAGAAACTAGCTATTATGACACATAGAGTAATAAGAAACTCTGCTGAAAATAGTCGACTTCACCAAAATTCATCATTGAGCAACGGGTCCTGGAGATTGTAATCATTCAAAAATTATATATGTAGAGAATTTTTTTAGAACAATAAAGCTCAAATGATACTGATCCAAATATATCTCATTCCAGTTATTATTCCTTAAATATTTGTGAAGTAAGAATGAATTCTACGCAGAACTCTATGCTATGCTATGTCGATTCATGAGATAATGTCGATTCATGAGATGTTTACTCAGAATAGTGGATTCTTCTAAAATTCGTCGTCCAGCTATGGCGTAATTGGAATTGTCATGTCACCAAAAATAATATTTGTTTAAAAATTCTTTACTTTTCTAACGCTTATTTCTTCACAAACGTTTAAAATAGTCATCTAGTCGGTTTATTGCAGTCAAAGGTAGGGTATTTCAGTTAGTCGGTCTAGTTCTAGAACGTTTGCGAGGTTATCATGGTTTTACGTAGAACTTAATACCAACATAATATAATGGAAATATTTGCTCAGATCAGTCGACTTTACCAAAATCCGTCATGAAGAAGCGGTGTCTTAGAAATCGTAGTCGTTCTTAAAATATTTATATAAAATACTTTTAGATTGATAGATAATTTATTATACTTATTATAATATTATTATTTATATAACGATTCTAATGTTTTCTAATCATTTTATTCCACTTTAACTGCAGTTAGTAGTTCTAGAATGTTTATGTGATGTAATGATGATGCGTCGTTATAATGTTTTAGTCCAGATTTCTATCGTAATGCCAAGTTTCTTAGTAAAAAATTATAATAATATATGCAAGCTATTTCTCTAATATATCGGCCATTCTGACCAACCTTGTTAATCTATTACACATAATTTAGCTCATCTTATTGACAGTGTCAGGTTAAATCGTAATTCCATTATCCCTGTTATATTTGAGGGAATATGTGTCGTTATCTCTGCTTTTGCACTTCTAATGTCGGGGTCATTCTACGTGATATCCTTGAGAGTAATCAATGTCTTAGAAAAAATAGATTTTTTCATAATACTCATATATATAGGTCTTAGTATGTAGATGTCTACACATCCATTGAGGCATTCTTATGCAAATGTGCTTCCATCGTATAATTCAAATTTTAATGGCGTGCGAAAGCAACAAAAACTCAATTGCAGGAACGGCAGAAATATCTATTAAATTTGTGAATCCATAATTTTCATATTTTGTGTTTTGTATTATTTATTTTTTATTTTTCATTTTTTATTATTTTTTTATTCTCATTTAATTTTATAATTTAATTTACGCGTTTTGTCGTCAGCTGCGTTCGCACGCTCTCACTACTTGTCCAACAGGATGCGGCGTTGATGTGTCACTTTTCTGCTGCCATTGCAGACGCAATTGCCAGGTCTTGGTGGATGTGTGAGACTGTGTACACGAAGACAGTCGAAAGGTCCTTTTTGAGTTGTACGCTTTCAGATAAATGTACTTTTTTCATACTGTGTATTGTTTTTTTGCTTCAGTTCAGTTAGCGCGTATTTTGCGGTTTCATTTGCATGTGATTCGTGGCAACTAACAATCGTCATCATCTTTATGTGCGTCATCCATTCCCTTCCACGCCATGCCAACCCAAACCATTTCACATGCTTGTTCAAAGTCGAGCACGGCCTGTAAGTGGTGGTGCAAACAGGCACACCAAATCGAACTGGTACCCTCCTCAAGCGAGCGGCGCGGATGTACGCTACCTCGTATCTACAGCTACATTGTATCTTATATATTGTATATTGCATATAGTATATTGCATATTGTATCTCACATATTCGCCAAAGTGCGGAAGCAAGGAATTATTCGCATTTGTCATTGTGTGCGTGCAACGGTGACAATTTTCAATGATTTGTTTCCTAATTTACATATTCCACCATATTTGTTCTGCCCCAGCTATTTCAGGACTTATTTTTCATATAGTTTTTTTTCCCTACCATTACTTGTATTTGCTTTGTTTGTTTGTTTGCGGTTGACAGGATATTTTAATGAGGGCGTTTTTACATTTTTACTGCCTTTCCCATTTACAATTCACAATTTACCATCTACCATCTACCATTTGGCATTCCTTTCCTACCATTCTATATTCCAGTATATTGGTTTCCGAGCACTGCATACGGAATAGTTTTGGTAAATGTTTCAATTTAAATGTAATTACCTTATTCCTCTTATTCCTCTGTCTCTCCGCCAATTCAAATTTATTTGTTCTGTTAAATGCTTTTAATTGAAAGGGAGTGATTTTCGAAAGACCGTGGAATGTTTTATGTGGCATGCAGATATGCAAAAACTCACAAAATCAGTACCAGGATATCATTAATATTGTCATGTGATTTCAAGTTGTTCCTTGATGTGAGCTACATCGAGGAAACCATCCTTATTATTTATGATTTAAATCGGAAACACTTATTTCAATTGTATAACAGTAAGTTCTTGAGACAGGCCAGTCCATGAAATTGTAATTAAGTTTTTTTTTACTTTTTCATACCCCAATTGTAAAGATGAGACCA